GCCACATCACCCTCTCGTTCGTCGTGCCGACCTTCATAGGTGCTCGTTAACAGGATTTGCCCCAACACCCCGTGGCCCCGCCAAAGCTATCTCCGAGTCCGATACGGCTCTCAGTAACAAATTGGTCACCCACCGCTGTGTTAGAATATCAGAACCGACGCAGTTACCATCAGCCATGATCTCTCTGCTGTTGGATGAGGTGTGCGTTAATGAGCGGTTGGCGGTCTAAGGTATATGAATGACATATTGGCGCTCAGTGAGGCAAAGGGTCGGGAAGAGACATTAACATATCATACTTTGCGTTAAATTAATTTAAAAAAATCAATCAATGGGAACGGATAAATATTAATTTAGCCTAAGCAAGCGATCGTTGAATAGCGGCACGTTTTTGCTGTGCCGGATGCTGCCGTGGTGCCATGGCTAGCAGAGCGCCGGACTTGAAAATGCAGAGGTCACCAGTTCAGTTTGATGTCCCAGCGTGGGGGTAGCTTGCAATGATGGCCGCCCCTATCCACGCAACAGTAACAACGAGCACACCACGGATAGTTGGTCGGCAGGTCACGTGTGGTGGATTAAAACATGGATACTCCCCCCCCCCCCCCCCATTATTTCAAAACATTAGGGCCAGCGTGGAAGAGTAGGCCAAAAAACACCAAATCACCATTTAGGGGTTCTCTACAACTCCCTGTAGTTGAGATCGTTCCAGCAGATCAAGGCAATTCAGAGCCGCACCTCTCCGACGTAGATGACAACCGCAACTCTTTCTGCCCACACTTTGGTGTGGGTGGATACACGCAGCGCCTCTCTGGTCACTCGCGCCCAGGCGATCCAAATTCACCGTTGGGCCCCCCCCCCGCCCGCCCGCCCGCCCTGACGCTTGCCTCGCCCCGCTCGCCTCCAAATCCGAAAACAAACTCTGGGATCGTGAAGCCGTTGTGTTAAACAAGCCCCCTCGTGTTTTTTGTCTGCGCGCGCGCGCGTGGAGCGTGCCTCTGTTGGCCGGGGCAAATCACGAGCCCACTTGAGCCGAGCTTATTAACGGGATAATGTGCAATATGTCCATTGCCGGGCGACTAAAGACGAGCGCTTTAGCATAACAATCGGCATTAATAAACCACGAAGCTTGCTCCGGGTGAGCAGCTCCTCTTTGTTACGATTTGACTGCGGAAGAAGCTGAAGGGGAAGAATCGGAATTAAATGCCGGGATTAGGAGGAACTTTCTTACCCTGCTGCCTCTGCCCACGACCAAATCATCGTAAGTGCCCGCCCAAGTCTCGTTGGATCTCGGAAGAAAAGCCGGGTTCATCCTGGTTAGTCCTTGGGGCGGGTGGCTGCCGGGGCCCACCAGGTGTGCGTGAATTATGTCGGGGAGCGGTGGTGTTGCCGTTTGCACGCCACACTACGGTCCTGGCCACCCACCCAAGTTCGATTCCCGCCCACGGCCACCAACACCAGTGACAATTATCTGAACCGGTCCCTGGGCATCCCCTAGGTCGACTCAACCTCAATTGGGTGCCCGGTGCGGTCGGTAGCAAACTTCGCCACTCGGGAGACAAAGGCGGCCGGCCGTGGCGCTTGCCACCCACCCCCTCGTGCGCCGTGTCGGCCTTAAATAGGCGCTCGCTAACAGCACTTGCCCCGAAAGTCTGTTAAGGCTATACGGGGGAACTTTGTATTTTTTTTTCTGAGGGGCTGTGAGGCGTGCAGTGCTGAGTACGATCCTCCCGTGGGAGCGAGTTTTCTCCCACGTCAATTGGCCACGTAGCAGTGAGCGGGACCCTTGTGAAGAAGAGCCTTGACACTCGGAGGGGCTTTGCCGGGTAAAATCTGGTTACTTTGTTCAATTTCAGAGCTTCTGTGGGGACGAAAAACAAAGGCTTTGGCTACAGTTTGTGTTGGAAAAGTTCACAACACGGAGTGTGACTTATTTTGCTGGAGTTCTTCGTTTTGGCAGGAGGGGAGAGATGGCACCGGAGATGTTCCGTGATGTCGGACTACATTTCAGACTCTTCAACGTCTTGGGTATACATGAGCACAATCGTGAAGCGGCCTTTTACTTTGGCATGGTCTGTCAACCAATGTGGACCTCAATTAATCTGTACACAATTAGTCCAACCTTTATCGATAAAACACCGTGCGTCAAACAAACTCAGATGAACGGACTCTCTATCCGCGCTGGGAGGGTGATGGTGCAATCAGTTTCATCTGAGTGTCAAACCGTTCACTCATCCTATTAAAAGCCACGTTTTTTTTTCAGAGCTGTAGATAACCGCCTTCACGATGACATCCCATAAGTATAATCAGGATCATAATGACGACGATGATGAATCGTGGAATTGTTCAGCTTTTATCACGTAGCTCGCTGCCTCGGGCGGTGCGTCCGGGGCTTCTCCAAAACATCGTCGCGGTGAGATTTGAAAGCTAAACAAAAAAGAGGCGTCGAAGTGAAAAAAATCTGGGCACGCCACGACAGCCCAAACGACGACATCATTGTTCAGACTTGGACTCGCGCGAGGCCGCGAGCGGTTTCGCGGGAGCCAAGCGGCTCGCCGACGGCGTCACAAACACGCAGGGAGGGCACGTGACGTGACGCGACGTGACGAGCGCTTGAAATGCCGACAGATTTTGCGCGAACCGCTGTTCGCGTGTAATAACCGGAACGTCCGAGCGATGGCATGGATTTATTTGGGATTGAGCGCCGCCCTGCCTAGTGGGGGTTGTCGTTGTGTTTTTTAAACGCGAATTCCTAGCCGCAAAAAATGTTACATGAAAGTTTTCATTGAGTTCCGCTGTTATCTCGGCAATCAGAGATGCTGTTCTATTAGACAAGCTTCGCGAGTGAATGCCCCCCTTCGTAAAGATCGGCAGAGATCCCTCCCGACGGCTTTCACCGCGTCGTACAAAATACGCTCTTCCTTTTAATATCCTGTAAACTGTGACTACGTTTCAGTGGATATATATTAAGTGGCTGTAAGGTTTCGTTATTTTACTTTATTAATTTCCTGCAAATGCAAGTCCCTCGCTTCTATTCCAGATTACAATGAGAATATAATTTCACAAAATAATGACTTTTTTCAACTCAAGTACAATATCCTCTTTACCGAAACCAAATGTTTTTGGATGGCACATTATGAGACAGTGGCTATGAGTAGTAATATATACATAAAAGTCTCCAACTAAAAACATTACTGTCAGCCAGATGGCGTAATGTTGGATGCATTGGCCAGTGTCATTTCGACAAGGCATGTTCCGCATTACCAATTTAAAGTTCCTGGAAGCCAGAAGCCGGCTTAGAGAGTGTGCTGGAATTTGTAATTAATAACGAGTTACACCTGGGCCACATCGCATACCTCGCCTCCTCCCCTCGAGTGCTTTGTTTGATGGGTCGTGCGTGATCCCGACGCGCGGTCGTGTCACGGCGCTGATCTTTTTTTTCTCATCGGGCGCGCCTGCCGATTGAAGTCTTTAATTGTCACTGAGATTTACTGAAGGCCACGCGCTCGGGATAAAAAAAAAGTGCGGGTGGAAGAAGCGTGGAGAGGTGGTGGCCGTGCTTGGAATGAACAAACCCGAGAGAGACAGGGGGAGGAAGGGCCAAGTGGACTGGAGAACTAACGAACGAACGAATGCAAGTTCGACAGACATTGTCAGGGTTGACGCTCACGAAAAGAGTGGGCTCGGGCAGGATGACGTCTCATGGCTGGGAAGGGGTCGGTGGGCCCGACGGGTGGAGACTACAAACGGCGGAGTGATAGCCGAAACAACGGCCACCGTAGAGATGGAGTGATGAATTCGGCTCGTATGCAAGGCGTTTAGATGGATTGTTGCGTCACGGAGCCTTGGGGGAGGCCTTCATCCATCAGTGGATGACGAAGGTGACGTTGACTGACGAATGTTGTTGGTTCAGGTGGCCACGGTCATTTGAGCGCTCGCTTCGCAACCTGAAAGTCGCGGGTTCAAATCGCGGTCGGGGATCAACTCAACTCATCATACTTCTGGAGAGGTCATTAAAACGAGTACTTCTGTTCAAAGTCAACAGCGGAGACAATCTGTTCATAGGAATGTCGAATTTCCACCGCTGGCTGGGGGGGGGGGGGTCTCGACAGAGATGATGAGCCCTGCGGTGTGCTCTGCTCGAGCTGGGAGACGCTTTGACCTTTGACCTGTCTGCTACAAATATTAAAAACAACATTTCCTTTTTTTCTCTCTCTCTCTCGCTTGCCTACGGATTTTGAAACGTTCCACCAGCACCCGGTCCAAGAGATTTTTCTCCACACCCCCCCCCCCCCTCTCGGCACAAAAGTTCAGAGCCATGGGGAACCTCCCCTCCGGCTCGTGATTTATGGCGACAGCTGAAGGAGCCGCGGGGGGAAGCAGGTCGTCTCGGAAAGCCGATACCGGAGGAATCCTGATTTATTTGTCTAAGGACGTGTGAAGGGACGGCTCCGTTACTTGATTTTCTCAGCGATTGCCAGCCCTCTTTGCTTTGACAGCTTGGTGGCGGAATTATCCGCTGTGAGAGGCGAGCTTAGAAATTCAAACAAGTTTGGGGGAAATCACGGCAAGCGTTGTTCAACTGCTTGGCCTGACGCGCGATTGTCCTGGGAAGTATTTAATAAGTTGGGCAAAAAAATTGAGATGGCACGTTCGCAATTGTTGAGTAATTTTTTTGTGTCTGCAAAGCAACACATGAGCACGCCAGTTTTGATATCGAGTAACTCCCGTAGTTGCGTTCGTCAGTCAGAAATTCCGCAAAGCCATTATCTGTTTACTCGTCGCAATGAGTTTGGTCGAATGATTGCCGTTCCCCGCGCCGCTGAGTGAGACCTCTCCTCGCGAGTTGCCAGCACGATCATCCGTGCGGTTTATCTGACTCGGTGCCGCCGAGGCTTTTAAAATCTAATTCCCTTTTAATGAACTGTTTCATCGCGCCGCGGGCCTGCCCATCGCTCTCCTGAACACGGTTTTAAATTTGTGATGTCTCTGTTTTTCGTTTCCAGGATCCTTAGCAACAACAGAATTTCTCAGCTGAAGAACGGCTCCTTCTATGGACTGAACTACTTGGAGAGATTGTGAGTACCCGACTTGTCACAAACAAAGACAAAGATCCCCCGTATAGTCTAACAGCCTGTTAGGGCAAGTTCTGTTAGCGGGAACCTACGAAGGCCGGCACGGCACACGAGAGGGTGGGTGGCCAGCACCACCACCAAGTGGTGATGTTTTTTACACCACTTGGTGGTGTTGAAGCTGAGTCGACCTAGGGGAGGCCCAGGACCGGTTCAGATAATCGTCACTGGTGTTTGCCCTGAAGAGGAATCGAACTCGGGTCGCTGGGTTCGTAGCGTAGCGTGCTAACCGCTACACTACCGCTCCCCGCATACATACGTACATACATACACCATACATACATACATCCAACCCTCGTGCTCTTGCCTGACCACATCAAGTCGTGCCATCGTTTCTCGTCGCGCAGAGTCACTCAGATCTTGCTCGCACTGCTCCCGTCGAGTCGGCATCGAGTGCTGCGTTCTTTTAAGCGACACTGCCTCGCCGCGTTCCCCACAGTCCCGGCGGAATGATATCGGCAATCTGATCGGAATCCCGACTCCGCCTGGCGGATGCTGGGAGCGTGCAGGACTGGATGTAGGCTTGGGGGGGGGGGGGAGGGGCTGCGCGTTTGGAGATGTTAAAGCGTGACACGCATAGCTTGAACGAGCACAAATCCCCAAAGTTCTTATCCCCGTTCACATCCAAAGAGAATGTTTTCTCCCGATGTGGTTTTAATGACAATGTCAAGAAGCCATTAGGAAAATTGCAGATTTTCATCTGGCTCAAAACAGGAAATTTAAAATTCACGGGTGGGAATTCCGGCCTCAGCTTTCAGTCGGGCTCCACCTGTCAGGTGGCAGCAGCTGCGCTTTCTCTTTCCCTCGATGCCTCTGCGGTCTGCACGTGGCCGCTTCAACACCGGCGGTAAATTTCGCCGCTGCCCGCGGCCGAATTTGTCGCCGAATCATTTTATGTGGTCGCTCGCAAAATGCATTTGGCCACGTGACTCCCGGCAGCCGCGGCCATAGACGAAAGGTCGTGCGTACACATTTTCTGGGTAAGACGACCCAGACAGACCCGGGTAAAATGTGGGCCCTGCCTCGTAGGTCCTCGCAGATTGTCCAGAAGTCAACTTCCTTTGTCAATTCAAATTTCCTTTTTTTCCCCCGCTTTCTTTTTCTTCTCTGAACGGCGCGAACAAATCGGCAGCTGAGGGGAGGGGGGGGGAAGGAATAGCTTTTTTTTAGGGCCGAGTTTTCTTTTTGCAAGGATTTGGAAAACAAAAGTGAAGCCAGGCGCGGGCCCATGGTGGTGGGATTGTGACAGCATTGTCCAGGATTGGAGAGGTAAGCCCTGGGATTGGAGGGTTCACTCTCGCACACTTCACCCCCCTTTCAGCGCGGCCAGGTGATGTTTTATTCTGCTTGAAGCGTTTCCTGGGCTCTGATCAATAATACATTAAAGGCACCGCAGGTGGGCAGCCACCGGTAGCTCGGGCGAGAATCTTGTAGTGATTTTTGTGCCGTAAATGCCATGCCTGTACGGTGGAGCGCTGGGGTCTTTGTATTGGTTTTTGGGAGCACACTTGAAGGTGAAACGGTGAAAACTTCAGTGGGGAACATACACGCACACTGGAAAGGAAAATGAAAACATTGCTTGAGGCTTCAGGCACTGTCGTATTGGTATCTTTTTTGAGAGCGGACGGTTGTGTCAGCATTGCTTGTGGCTGTGTTGTGTTTGGGCAGTCGAGAGTCAGTTGATTAACTTCAGTTGATTAACTCATTACTGTATTCACTGAATTACAAGGCCCCATCGTTATGCCTGGTGGCATTGGGGTGCCGCGGAGGTGAGATGTTAACAACCTTGCCTGGTATACAGGAGGTCGTGGGTTCGATCCCGATCCTGGTGTCTATATATTTGGAGTTTGCGTGTTTTTCCCATGGTCGCTTAGATTTTTCTCCGGGTTCTCCGGGTTTTCCCTCCACATTTATAAACATGCGTCTATAATATTTGGCTGCTATAAATTTCCACAAAATAATACTACTTTCATTTTTATATAGTGTCATTCATGCTAATAGCATCCCATAACGCTGTACATTTATTACATATTAGGACAAATCCCAGATACTGTCTTAACTGAGCAAATTAAACCCCAATTAACAAGCAAAATCTAAAATGAATGAGCAAATTACGAAATGCCACCAAAACAAACAATTAAAAAGTTGTCACCTTGATATCATTTTGTGATAGACAAGTCGCTTCTGAATAAGAGCTCTATAGCTCAGTGGGCCTTACCTCGTAAAATTTTAAATAGTTTAGTTTTAGTTTGTGAAATTGTCACAAATCTGCCCACCGCCACAGTTAACAGATTATAAGATGAAGCCACAATAATAATTAAACATAAATATTAGATAAGAAATGAAGGTGGTTCCCGGCCACGGCCAACATTCGTGGCGAGTGATATCTGATCTGATCCTAGGCTTACCCTTCAACAACCCACACTGCCTAGTTTGGTAAAGTATGGTCAAATAACGCCTCCGACCAACACAGTGTAGGGAATATTTCATCCCGCGGTGGATTGATATAGGACTGAAAATTAGATGAGCAATACAATATTCGTAAAAATATTGGATGGCACTGTATTTATAAAATGATAAACATACAGTATAGCACTTAAAACAAATGTTATTCAATCAGCTACCGGTCATATAAAGAAACGCACACGCATCGGCAAAAGTAGATAACAACATTTGCCAGCAATAAAACTAAACCCGTCAATATCCATGTAAGAAAGGGAATATGTAACATTTTCATTGTTTTACAACAATTGGAGATTTTTTTCTTTTGCCAGGAATTCACTTGCGTCTCCTCTCGGCATATTTGAGATTTCGTACGCTCGACTGTTTTTTCAGCTGGAGTTTTTTTTTTATATATATATAATACGAGAAGGGAAAGAAAGAAACAAAACAACCCCGCCTCTCCAGCCTGCCACCCCCACACACCCTCGCTCCTCGCTCCCCCCGAGTCGACCGGGCTCGTGGCTCGAGAGGAGACAACTGGAGCAAGCGCAGCAGCGGTGACCTTGGCGGCAGTTGGGTTTCCCTTGCCCACGCCCTCTGCTCCTCCTAAACGATCGTGCAACATGTTCCACGGAGTGTCGGGGATGGCGGGGGGCGGTGGGGGGTGCGAGCAACCGGCGGCGACCATCTAGCTTCCCGGATAATCTGTCCGAGGTGGAAACCCTTTGGCCTCTCGGGTTAAACGGGACAAACGCGCGACGCGCCGCACAGCGATGGGGAGTGATTCGGGGGTGGGGGAGGTCAGGGATAAGGTGAAATTGATAGGGTGTGTGTGTGTGTGTTAGGTAAAACCCCGCGGGCGCTACCAGAGTTCCGCTCACGCGTGTGCCGAGAAGTAGCAGGGGCATCCCGTTTACGATTCAGTACCAGGAAAGAGGAAAACGGTTTTGTAAACGGTGTGTGGACGAAAATAACTCGGGACGCAAGTTCAAGTTTTGGGATCTTGCTCGTTTGAGCCCCCGGGGTGATGAAGGGGGGTGGCGGTGTGCTTTTTCTTTCCATTCCAGCGTCGCGCCGAATAGATCAATGGTTGAGAATTGGCAGCAACATTCGAATTAAGGGGTGCCCGTCAAATGGCGTTATATTCAGCGTTAGCCCGTCGTGGTAGAGACTTTCGCTGGAAAAAGCGTGAAAGCAAAGATGCCCCAAGAGTCTGGTGGCGCACGGTGAAGTGCACTTCGGACTGTAGTCCGTTACCTTAACAAATGTCGGCGCTTTAGGGTGAGGTGGGCTGATTGTCGAGCTGTGGTGTGACAGGTTAACCCGAGGTCAGAGCGTGTGGAAATAAAACGAGCCTTTTCTAGGCCTCGTAACTTCACGTCGCGTGTTAAGCTCCTGTATCAGCACACGAATGAAAGCAGTGGGTGTTGCAGATTTCTCATGTCCACCCCCTACAACATTAAACGTAATGTTGTTCTTTCTGCGTGTGTGTCTGTATACTTCATGAAGACTGGGGAGAGGTAGTGTAGCGATTAGCGCGCTGCCCTACGAACTCGGCGACTCGAGTTCGATCCCCGCTCACGGCCAACACCAGTGATGATTATTTGAATCGGTCCTGGTCCTCCCCTAGATCGAGTCAGCCTCAAATGAGTACCTCGTGCGATGTGTAAACATCGCCACAGGGGATACAACGGCGGGTGGGCGTGGTTGCTGGCCACCCACCCCCTCGTGTGCCGTGCCGGCCTTCATAGGATGCTACTCGCGTACAGCACTTTCCCCAACAGTCTGTTAAGGCTACACGGGGGATCTTCTTTGTCTTTATGTGAAAATAAGCCAAGATTTCCATTTGTATGCTTAGCAACAAGTGCGTTTGTTTGCGTTTCATGGTTTGGATGTCGCTGACATTGGGTAACGTGGTAAATGTCTACTTAAGGGCATCACCGTGTGCTGCACGTTGCATGGTAAAGAGACCTTGGGACATTGGTCCCAAGAGCAATAATGCATTGCATGCAAATCCAGTCTCGGATTAAATCCAATGTGCAAATTTTGTTTTAACTATTTAGAAATGTCAATGTTATTGTTGGGCACTTCCGTGAGACTCTCTCAGCATTGCTTCTCGACAGAGACTGAATCACGCAGAGAGATTTTGCCTCGGAACAATGCTACGTAAAGACAAAGCCGTATTATTCCATAACTTTATAAATTGTCAGCTGATGGTGCAAAACAAAACCACCGGAAATGAAACCCAAATACTCGGATGTTATGTCTCCGTGAAATTTAAATTATTCCACGAACGAGTTGAATGAAAGTAACAAAAATACATTTTGTGATGACGGTCTCCCCAGGGTCGTGCGGTCCGTGAGGGTTACTTTACCATACTTAACCACTCTCGTCAATACGCACGTTGATTACGGCAGGGAGCATATATATGGGACCGTAGAAGCACAGTGCAACAATGGCCGTGGCAACATGTTGCCCACCAACATAGTCCCACAAGGCCCATG